TGATCTACGAACTCCACAACCTCCTTTTTCATCGACCACTACCTTTTCCCCTGGGCCACCCACCCCACACCACAGCTACTCTTTACCGAACAATCCCATGCCATACTTGGCTCCGTCCGTGACACACCAACCTGAACTACTCCTGCTCCACTGGATGATCAACACTATATCCTCACTTGTTGAGGATCTCCAACATCACCCCATTGTGCAAGATCCCATCCCCCCCAATGTCTACGTTCACCAACACACCAGCCTACAGACTTTTTCTGCAGACACGCAACACGCTGCGACACCCGACCAACACCACCCACGACGCCCGCCGTGGACTCAACAGGCTGCAATTCCTTCCAGGCTCACCAGGCTCCCCTGGCCACTACCGCATTGATCCCACCCTTGACATCCCACCCCAACAAACCAATCTCCTCTCTGGAGCCACCTCTCAACGCACCCCAGCCACACCATCACCCACCAACACACCACCACTCATTCGCCGGTTCAGTGGCAGGGACAGATCTCGTTCCCGAGACCGGCTTCCTCTCACCACACTCTCACAGCCGAACCACACAACCCCTCGACACCAGACCATCCCAGACCGACCTTTTGCAGCTCCCGGCCACCGCGGACACCTGCATCAAGCACTTTGGACGGCCTCCAACTCCAGTTCCACCTCCTCAGCAGTTTGCCACCTGCTTGCTGACACACCGTCCTTCTCTCCCTGAGGCGCCCGGACAACGCTAGGTCTCACACATTACACTTGGCTCGGAGTGAAAAATCCGTCCTCTCAGTTCTTTTCATTTTTTCCACCCAGCAGTCACACATTTATCTCCGCAGCCATTTGAACTCTCGACGGGCCGCTTCATGCAACTCACTTCGCCTTCTCACTACCCCATGGATTACGACTCTCCCGACTGGGATCGCACTCCCACAGAGTCTATATCGAAGTGAAGGATGAGACACCACACCTCACCAAGGCAGAAGCCGTTGAGTCATCCACTAACGACCCAAAGCTGGAACTCACGAAAAAGGAGGAAGACTCCCCACAACCTACTCCCATGCTTTGCCCTCCGGTCAGCGCTGTACCGGATAAAATCTCCACCACATCCACAACGCCACCAGCCAAGGCCCCCCCAGTTTCTCACACATCTTACCGGAACCTATCTACACGCAACGCACCACAGACAAACCCCAGGCCAACACCAACACAGCCTACAGCCATACCTCCGCATTCCACGGCACCACCAGCACCACCATCTACCACATCATCCACCAGCACTGAAGACCCTGTCATCCTCACCACCAATGTTCCCATTCTACCAAAAGCACGTCCGGGGCACCCACCCCTCAATACCACTTGGGTGGGCCCACCACAATGGCACCAAGCTCCACATTCAGCAACACCCACACGCATCCCTTTGCAGGTCACCATTCCACGTCCCCACCGGAACGGCCAACTGCTACCTTTCAACTTTTCCAACGACATCAAACACTACCTCAACCGAGGCCATCTTTGCAACCGGCCTTATCCATATCACCCTCCTTTTCGCATACCCTTCCAACACCCGTCGCTCACAACAATGGCGCAACCGCCTCCGCCAGCTTCACATTTTGCCCCACACCTACCACTACCACAACTTCCTCTCCTCCAATTCAGTCTACATCAAGCTCCACTTCAATCCCGACCAGCCCCAACGCTGCTACCATCAACATGGCCACTTCTATGTTGGCTCCACAGCCATTGGCATCCCCCACCGCGAACACAATCGCCGCGCCAAACTCAAACAACTCCAAAATAACATTCCCATTTCTGCAGAACTCTCTTTACGATACTGGCATTCACACAACAACATCCACCACTACACCACTATTCAACTCACCTCCCATGACACATACGACCAAGCCTGGATCCAAGAGCACCACTACATCGCCAACTGGATGCCTTCACTTAATTGGCCCTTCATTTCCCACCACCTCAAACTCAAAGCTCAGGGATGGCAGTTCGCGAAACACAGAGCCCACTTCTACTCTAGATTAGCCACCCACAAACGACTCTTCCGACGCCTTCGGCAACGCCAGTACACCCTCAGAGAACCACACCTCTACACTTCCACTAAGCATCACGCTCTCCAACTTCTTCGCAATCTTACCAAACACACCGCAGCCTCCTTTGAAGCAGCCAAAGAGCTACGAAGCGGCCGTCACACGGACCTCGAAGTCTATGCAATCCGGCGCATGGCTGCAAACCTCGAAGAACCTGGCCGCAGCCGTGCTCTCCACATCCTCAACAAAGCCTTGATCTACCGCAACCTCACGCCACCAAAACCAAACATCCCATTGACAGTGCCCTTCTTGGCCCATGACGACTTTACCAAGCACTGCCAACAATGGCTTCGTACTACCATCCAGCAGCACAAGCATTTCACCATTCCCCTCCACCTCCCCTCCCACAGACTGAGAGAAGCCGCCCACAAAACCCTCCGCTCCCACCTGCACAACCACCGCACATGGGAAGACACCTTCCACTCCCCGCCAGATCCTGCAGACCTCCCCTGTGCATGCGATCACCTTCGCACCCTCCTGCAGGATCCCGATACCCCTACCATCAACGGCCACTACATCCTTACACTTGACCAACTCCAACTCCCTACACACCTCAGCATTTTTCTCAACGCCAATATGAACAGCACCTACTACCCAAGCAAAGCTCGGTACTTCCTCATTTTCAAGACGGCCTACACCAAATGGCTCAAACTACAAGGGCTTCCACCATCCCTCGTTCAACACTTACAGCCCTTCCTTGAGCACCAATGGCGCCTTCACAACATACACCTAAAGCAGCAACCCCGCTTCACGGCCCGCCTGATTCGCCAACTCCAAGAACATTTGGGTAGACACACACTACTCCACCATGCCGATCATGAGCTTCAACAACTTCGGCTGTTCTGCCCTCGCCAATACTTCACTGGCGCCTTGAACACCTGGCAATCCCCCGAACTTTTCGAACCACTTCCCTACATCACTGCAGCCAACATCCATGACCACCTGGCCGCCACTGTCCCCCCCCATCCTGCGCACCCGCTACAAGTGGGGCTTCCGAAAAGACTTCAACATACCCTACGGTGTTGTCCACCTCAAGGAGAAGAAGCACTGGCAAAAAGGCCGTACAATCATATCCTACTTCCAATCACTAAGCGGCAACTTACTACGCATCACCAGCCGTGCCCTAGACATTATCCTCCAACACCTCTACCCTCAACATCCAGGCCAAATGTCCATTCCCCAGCTTTGGCACCACTTTCACAGTTACCTCACCCAAACCCCACCCGACATCTCACTACATGCCACCAACGATGACCTGGTCGGCTTTTTCAACTCCGTCCCCCAGCACCGACTCATCGATGCAGTCCACTCCCTTGTCCTCCACTGGCAACAACAGCAATCCACACACACCTTAACGGTGGATGTTCAGGCCACCGGCAATCCTTTCCACCACTCCCACATTGGCAGACACCATCGGAAACACCCTACCCAACGCACCATCCAGACTTCCGACATCACCACCATCGTGGCTTTCGCCCTCAACACATGCATTTTCCGGGCTTGCAACAACACTTACAAACAAATCCGAGGGGCCGGGATTGGATCCCAGCTCTCTCCAGCCCTATGCAACGTTGCCATCACCCTCATTGAGCATTCCTGGCATCAGATCCACAACAACCTCCTGCAACACACAGACCTCCACTTTACTTACTATCGATATGTCGACAACCGCTTCATTGTCCACAACGAACATTTCCTTCAACACCCGGCCATCCAAACCCTCATCCACCACAACTTCTTCGGCGACCCGGTGGAACTAGAACCGGTGGAGGATTTTCATCTCCTCGGTTTCAACATCGACCTCCCACAACGCACCATCACCTACATGCAACCTTCCCAACCCTGGAAAATCCGGGATTCCACCACCGCCGGGAGCCGGCGCTTGGCTCTATCAGGCCTCCAATCACGACTTCACACCATTCGAAAATACACATTTCCACTCTCCAGCGCTGACGCTGCTGCGGCCGAACTCGTGAACCTATATGTCCAAAAGGGGCATGACTATCACGCCTGCCACCGGTTTTTGAAAAAGCGCCGAACGCGGCGACCTGTGTGTGTCCACCCCTGGACAAAGGGTTTTCCACCGCCACAGAATT